AGTTACAAAATTAAAGCTTATAAAGTGGACATTCCAACAGTGAGACTGCAAACAGTTCTGTTCAATGATCCAACAAATATCATTATCTATCTTATACACTTAAATATACATGCAGTTATATCATGTAGAGCACTTTCTTTTCCTCTCTTTTGTACAATGACAATTACACATTTTGGGTTTTGTTGCTCCCACAGTTCTTACTACTTTTTTGGAAAAGAGTAGAACCAAATGTGACATAACAGAACAGTCGGTCAAATCAAAAGGGTGGACATAATAGATAATGTAAAAGCATAATACTAGGTGATCAACAATGGTTACCATAATGCCTGCCGCTATCTCTAGTAGAATTGCCTATATCATTAGTTATAATAAAATTTGAACAAAACAGTAAAGAACAAAACCAACAAAACCAAAACATTGGAGACATTATAGGTCTTCAAAAGTAGATAATAGTCAACCAGAATGGGCATCATAATGAATCCCACTATCTTCACAGCCGTTGCCTAAACTTTCAAACCTGGTACTATCAAGCAAAACAGAATAGAGGAACATCAGTCAAAACAAGATGGTGAGAGCAATACAGGGCTTTAAATCAAGATAATGGAAAGTCAAAGTGGGTTACTATAATATATCCTGCTATTTTTTAATTTATTTTTCCCTTAATTAAAAGGATAAAAAAAGTAAATAATAAAATGGAGATTGAGATAAAAGAGGGCATAACAGCAAATCAGTGCAGATCAAAACATAACCATTTAAGCAAAATAGTGTTTCACCACAAGATTATCCCAACATAAAAGTAGTTACCATATTGTCTCTTTCCTTGAAATCTTTGAGTATAACTTCGTATACTGTAGCATCAAATATATCAAAACAATGTAAAACCATTTAAGAGAATGACAGTATTACAGGGTATTTAGAATCAACTAACAGAAAATGAACAATGGTTTCTGTATAATCTCCTTGTCTATAAAAGGTTTTGCTTATACTATCATATATAATAAAATCCAATAAGATACCACCTGTTTAGACCAATGGAGACAGAAGAACAAAAGCTTGATGAGACTTCAAAACAAGATGATACTAAATCAGTATTACCTCTTAAGACATCATTTTCTCCAAGATAGCTGTTCCTATCATCCAATCTTCTCTGCCTCATTTCTATTGAGCTCTTTTTCGGTCATTAGTTGTCAGTTTGTCTTCTTCATTTTGTTTTCTGCTCCATTCATTGTGGCCTCTCTGCCGCTACTTCTGGATTTTTCATATTTTTCTTTTTTAGAATATCTTGCAGTATTCTCTGTAGAGTTGAATTGGTGGTTGCATATTCCCCTAGTTCCTCTTTATCCTGGAAGCACCTTGTTTTTCCATCAATTTCCAGGGATAGTTGTGCAGGATATATCAATCTTGGCTGGAGATTATTATCTTTCAAAGCTTGAATTATTTCCCCCCACGCTCTTCGTGATTTGATGGTTTGTGCCGAGAAGTCTGCTGTAATTCTGATGGGTGTTCCCTTGTAAGTGATCTGTTTCTTGTCTCTGACGGCTTTTAGTATTCTGTTCTTGTATTGGATTTCTGGAATTTTAATTATTATATGCCTGGGTGTTGCTCTGTTTGGGTTGTAGGTGGCTGGGGTCCTGTATGCTTCATACAACTGAATATCTTTACCCTTTGCTAAATTAGGAAAATTCTCCTGGATTATTTCTGTGAGTAGCTTTTGTAGTTCATTTGTTTGTGTCCCTACTTCTTCTTTTATGTTCTTAATTCTTAAGTTATAGACCCTTTTATCATCTTCTAGTCTTTGTATTATTGCTGTTTGTTTCTTTGTTATTTTTAAGAAGTTTTTCATTTCATGCTCCCATATTACAAATCTGCCCTCCAGTTCAGATAATCTGTCCTTAGTTTCTTTCAAGCTGTTATGCCAGTTTTCGATAGACTTTTTAGTTTCCTGGTAGTCTCTTTGAACCTGCTTCACGTATTCTATGCTTTCTCTATTTTCTCCATTAAACAATTCTCCCTTCTTTTTCTGTTCTTCCATTCCACCATCTGTTTTTTCTTGGGTGGTGCTTAGCATTTCTCTAACTATTCTGCTTATGTCTAGCTTCAGGTCATTAATAACTTCATTCCTGAACTTGTCTATGAGGCTCTCGAGATAGTGCTTTATGTCTATTGGTGCTGTGTCTGCTGTTGTCTCTTTCTCGGGATTGGTGGCCGAGGACGCTTTCTTGTTGCTGCCTCTTCCCATATTCTTTGTTCCTTATATATGTAAGTGTATATAGGAGGCCCAGCTTCCTTCCCTGTTGGCCACAGTCTGATTGAATTGTGCCGGCTAGGTGTTCCCACCCACCGCAGCGCACCAGGAAGTTGCAGACCAGGCAGCCTATGCGGGGTCCACCCCTCCAGGTCAATCTACCTTCAGGAGCTGGGACCTGGGCTGTGCTAGCCTACTGGGTCTCAGCCAGCAGCGTCACATAGGCTAGGCACTGCTCACCAATCCCGCTTGAGATGGGTATTGGTGACTGAAGTCACTGCAGTGCCCTGTTCCCGCAAGTCTGCCCCGTCCCAGAATATCCTCTGTTGGAGTCTCCTAGACCGTGGCAGAGTCCCAGTTTTCCCTCATTCACCGGAGGTGGATGCACGGCTCCCCACCCATCCCGCTCTCAACTCCGTTCACCGATTCCCGTTCTCAGAGCTTCCACGCGTCTCTCTCCCTGCTGAGCTGATGTAGACGCAGCCGCCACGTGGCGGGAAACCCAAATCGCGGCTTCCAATGGCACGGGCTCCAGCTTCCACACTGAGGCTTTTCTATTCCTGTTATATCACCAGGATTGCATTCCCAGTTGGTTTCTCTCAGCTCAGTTCGTTCTTGGGTCACCGGGGCATATCTCCTCTTGCTTATGATTCCTTACTCAGCACCATTCCTGAATTCTAAGCTGGGTGTTTCAGAGAGCCTCTGTAGCTGCTGCTATCTGTCTGCCATGTTCTCCCGGAAGTCAGCATAGAATTGTCTTAATTGACAAGTGATGAAAATTCAAAGAGCTGCACGTTTATGTAATAAAAAAAAAAACCCTCTGGAAAATCCTTATTGCAAGAACAAAAGCCATCCTGGATAAAATGATAGAAGCCAAAATGAAATTCTAACAGAGTGACTAGTGGGTTGAAATTCTTCCAGATCAGGAAGAGGCCCCAACTCTCTCCAGCACAGAGGTGTGAAGCTCGGCTGACAAGCAGATGGCAGAATGGGAAACCCTTCAAAGTGGCTGTTTTCAATAGCTTCTTTGGCCATCTTCTATCTCATAGCTTTGCTCCAAAATGGGATTGGACTCCTTTCAATTAATCCTCTATTCAAATATTTTATAAAAATAAAATAGCTCCTGGGGAGAGTGATTACTCAAATCAATGTCCCACCAATGAGCAAGCTGCAAATTTTGAGTTTAAAAAGAGAGTAAAAGGCTTCATTTGCCATTTCATTGATGAGGATTTGCTGGCAGATGCAGATGCTAAGCCATCCCTGCCACCAAAGCTTTTGATCCACCAGGCCTGTCTAACAAGCCTAATAGGTTGTACACTTTTGCTTAAGTGATCAAAACTAATCCCTTGCCTAAAAATCTTACTCAAATCCTAATTCAATTCACTATCCCATTTAGGAGAAAGAGAGTTATTTACTGAGAGATAGAAAAGGAAAAGCAATTAAAGGCAATTAAATGTTTTCCTTTGAAACATGGATGTCTTTTGGACTCTGGACCCAAAATTCTCCACCGTATTAAGTGGTCATCACTAGTCAATTAAGACCGTAGATTCAGGAATAAGATCTGGTATAACTTTTCTGATTGGAACTATAAGTCCCTGAGTAAATGTCAAAGCCTCAGTTTCCTTGTCTGTGCAATGGAGATAATGCTAACCATACCTCCACTGACAGGATACTGTGAAGATCAGGAAAATAACATACATAAGGTACCTAGTATTGTACCTAGTACATAGCTGCCAATAAAAGAGTAAGTTATTTCTATTAACAGCACATTTTTCTAAATCCTCATCAGATTTTTCTGCCAATAAGTTTACTTACTCTTCACTTTGAATATGCTTCCAGAAAAGTTGTTAATCTAAGATACCGACACATAGAGAAATCTGAGTTCCTCTTTTCATGCCAGCTGCTTTTTAAAAATCATAGCAAGGATAGCATAGACACAGTTAAATTCACCTGTGACATCCTGTTGCCCTGAATGCATCTATGACCTCTTACAGGACAATTTTAATATTTTAATGTTCATGGGCCTCAGTCTAACACTATAACTTATTCCAAAAATCACAATGAACCTCAGCCTAACACTATAATTTATTCCAAAAATTACAATGAATGTAATGTTTTTGTTCGATGTCTTGCAATGACATTTAGACAAAAGCCATGAAATGCAGCCCCACCTAGCAGTAAACATGATAGAGCTGACTTCGTGTGAAATGATCAATTTCAGCCTCCAGCCAGCCCAAACAAGAAGCTATGCACGCCCTTAATGTGAACTTTAAAGCAAAGCATCTCACAGGAGACAAGAACCAAAACACACAATCACATTGCAAATGGATTTATGCCTTCTAATTGACTTGTTAACTATGCTAATATATTTATGTCTTTCTGCCTTTTTATATTGCTTTCAATAGATAATGCTATAGAACTGAATGGTACGAGATTAAAGAACAAAGCAACTGAAGATTTCCATAAACCTCTTTTCTATAGGAAACCAGATTATATTATTTTTGTGTATCTCCAAACATTTTATTTCTATAGCAAGTTTATTGCTTCTCAGAAGACAGCATCTTTTAATTAGGCTTCACAGCCTAAGGGAAAAGGGTTCAATTACTTCTGTTTAGACAGGACCAACTTGAAAGTGATAATACTAATGCACTTAGCAGTCTCTTCTTCTACAGAAATTGTTCAAAACATGAGGAGAAAAAAACAAAAGTAACCAAATGTTATTCTACCTGACCTCCATGCCTTCTGTTATTCTCAGGTGGCGCTGGAGGCCAGCAGGGCTTCCTAGGCTGCATTCGTTCCTTGAGGATGAACGGGGTGACCCTTGACCTAGAAGAAAGGGCAAAGGTCACATCTGGCTTCAAATCTGGATGCTCAGGCCACTGCACCAGCTATGGAACCAACTGTGAAAATGGAGGCAAATGCATAGAAAAATACCATGGCTACTCCTGCGACTGCTCTAACACAGCATATGATGGGACATTTTGCAACAAAGGTAAGACCAAAACTGTTTCCAGGCTCATTTGTAGTCATTCCTTAAACCCTTAAACATTAGGGATTTTTCATTGTAAATAAGCACGTTCTACTCTGAAGATAAGGTGATGGGAATCCTCTCCTACCTTAGGTAGGAAAGTTCCCAAATCATTCACTGGTCGCTACTGTTTACTAAGATGAAAGCAGCTTTGATGGTGGTGCAAAATTTCCCCACATCTAGCACTTACTGAAATAGTACAAAGCATGGAACCTCATCACATTCTGAGAGCGACAAAGTCACATGGCCTGATCTTCCCACATTAGGATCTCCTATTGATTGACTGATCATTTGCTGACATGAATCTGCCTGTGTGACTCAGGCATCTCCATGTTCTCCTACCTGTTGCTGAGCCCAAGCTGTACTTGCAAGAAAGCTCCTCTGGTCAGCCATTGTCCTTATCATCACTAGTGCTTCTCTTACTCAGGATGCCTTTAGGAGAGATCTGCAGGCATCTGAAGCTCCAGGCATGCTGAGATCATGCATCCACAGTCAGTTTACAGCATCTGTTATTGCTGGGTTTTCCAGTCTTGAAGGAGCCCTTGAATCCTCAGTAAATTCCACAAATCCAATGAGCAGACTATCAGAGCCCAGTGCACACACATATTTGCATTTGGGATACACCCTGGCGAACCCACATGACAGGCACAAATTCACTAACTCATCTGTGGCTTAATTTCCTGTGTGTAAACAACTGGGGTGAAGAGGGGAGCAGCTGGCTCTTTTCCTAAGCTGTAAGATAAATGCATGTAAATCACTCTTCCCTCTCTAAATGAATGTATAGCATTTGGGCAAAGTTTTCAGTAAACAGTTGGTGTATCTCTCAATAAGAAGCTTTACATAAGTAGCCTATTCATACTTTCATGAATACATGGAGAGTTGTTTACACTGGCATCATTCACACAAGATGCCACACAGAAGAAAGAACTGTACCCCCAGCATTCGCTGTACATCCAGGCTACTGTCTGGCAAGGCTAGAATATGAGCATACAAATTAGATCAGACAGGGGTGAAGAATGAGCATGAGACAATTACAAAGGTGGAAGGGAACACCAGTGCTGAATAATACCATCACACATTAACAGTGCTCTTACAGTGTGTTTTTCTGCTCAGAACAGCATGGTTCTGTGATTTTCCTGTGGCACACAATGGAATGGGTTTGCAGAACACATTAATTTCGCACTTGTAGAAATGACAGTCTTGCAATTACCATTCATTGTGCTTGATGCTAATTTAATGCAGTCATTCCCTTGCCAAAGGAATGTCTGAATGCAGTCAAGTAAGCACTAATGCCTGTGCCATTCGACTACATAAGTAACAATTTAAAGGAAATCATGATCCCCTTATTTTTGGAGAGTTAGGTTAAACACAGCAGCTCAAACAGTACTTCTGGGGGTTAATAGGCAATATTCATGAGCACAAAAGCAGAGGACTGTGCCTTGCAGTTTAGCCAAACAGAGGTAAATGAAGCCTATGTCTTTCCTCTGACATTATTTCAAGGGGTTTACACAAAAGACATCTAAATATTCTCTAAATATCTGTTCAGTAGTAGGATGAATTTATAACAGTAGTAGCTTTAACCAAAAAAATTTAAAACTGCAAAATATATTTAGAAAGTATTTGTGAGCATCCTTCCAAGTTGAGACAAGAATCTCCTTGCTCTGAGGAAATGACAGGAGTATGTAGTAGAATCAATCATGAGGCACAGCACCCCAGGAGCCTCACCTGCAGAGAGGGAGCTCCTCAGGCACAAGTGGTGGGGTTGTCCTGGGAGCTTCAGCCTGGGGCTTCCTCAGCTTTAGCCTCTCTGCCCAGGTGGCCTCAGGTCTCCGAGCAGCTCCCATAATCCTCACCTGGGTACTGCAGGCAAACAGCTCAGCTTCTAGAATGAGGGATCACACCCACCAACCAAAGAAAGAGCTCAGAAACATCCTTCTCTGACTCCCTTTGATGATATCAGTCTGTTATTATGAATGAGACCAGGCTGTAGTGCTGTGTGGTATGGCGTGGCATGTCAGGTGGGAACCATGGATAATGAAGTTACCCTTGAAAATCCATCTCAGTGCATTTAACCAGAGCCCACTTTTCTTTTAACAAGCATCTGAAATGATCGCTCTTTAGATGGCCCTTGCTGAAGCCAGGCTGAATGAAAATGAAATCTTTGGGACACTTCTATCTCACTAGGCCCTACGAGAGGTTCACAGCAGGACTGGCTTGGGATTCCATGTGAACTAAGGAAACACATTGGCCAGTTCTCTCCCTGTATGCTATGGTAGGCAAAGAGCAGCCCACAGCCTTTAAATTCTCTGTTCCTCTTCCTCCCCAACCCTTTTTCTTTCTCCACTTCCTTTCTTCTCCCCCTCTCCTTCTCATCCTTCGCCACCTTCCTCCTGCCCCTCCACCAAAACACTGTCTCTACATGGATCCTTCTGTATGTCTACTTCTCTATGTTCGCCCCTCCTGTCCTTACCTCCTGCTCTTTTGCTTGAGTATATGTTTAATTTGTGAATCATATTTGTTGTGCAGCTGCTCCACCGACCTTCACTGACCTCAGTGACAAGGCTGGATTGAAGCAGATCCCTCAGGATGATGTTCTTTTGCTTCCTACATGATGTGCATTTCATCTACCCTCCACTAGACCAAAAAAGCCCTCCTGTCTAATATCTTATCAAAAACTACTCCCAGAGTCCCTTTCAAAGAGCTCCATAAAGATTTGATCACCAATTAAGGTGTTAGCTCTCCCTGGGCTGTTTGCATCTTAAAAGAAGTGCTGACTGGAAAATTTCTCATGTTGTTAGAGACAACACAAGGGCATCCCCGAGATCTTATAACTAGACCAGGTACCCCATCCCTTTATCTGCCTCCCGGTCGCTATGCAGTCCTTGTCTTCTCAGGTATACACCAACCAGCAGCCATTGAACACAGTGAGACAGCTCCATACTGTGGTGGAACTCCGTGGTAGCCTGAGTCTCTGGATACTTCAAGAGACTTCCAGAAGCAGGAACTAGCCCTGCCTGGAAAGAAGGTTTGGTTACAGATCTCCCATCCACAGCATTCTTGGGTGCCTCTATTGGGGATCACGTGGATCATTACTTGACGAGGCCAAAGACAAATTTCTCTGATTAAGCTTATTCCTTCTTCAGTTGTCAAACCCCAACCACTCAAGAATTTTATGCCTATCAAAGTCATTTTTAACAGCAACCAGAAATTAGTGACATAGACTGAAGCACACTTTCCTGTGTGTCTTCTCTGTGTTATTAGAGCAAGGGGGAAAATAACTGACTTGACTACAACAGCTAAAGCAATTTCTATGTTGATTTTTGTGATTGAATGTTATAGTGGACTGAACAGTGTCCCCCAAATCATATTCGCCTGAAACCTCAACAGGTAATCTTGTTTGGGTATGTAATTAAATTAAGGTGAGGTCATAGTGGATTGAAATAGGCCTAAATCCAATCACAATGCCCTTACCAGAAGGAAAAAGGACATAGAGAGAGACACAGAAAAGGAGGCCATGTGTAGGAGACAGGGATCAGAGGTCTGCCTAGGGCCACCCAAGGCTCCAAGAAGCAAGACAGGATCCTTCCCTAAAATCTTGGAAGATGCTTGGTCCTGACAACACCCTGATTTCTCCCTTCTAACCTCCTTGACTATGAGAGGATAGGTTTCTGTTGTTTTATGTCACCCATTTCCTGGCATTTTGTTAAGGAAGTCCTAGGAAACTAAGGCAAGTGCTAATAAAAGTCAGCAGTCCTCTTAGCTCTTAACACCGATCACAGCTCAGTTTCCTGAGAATTTAGAAAGTGCTTGCTGGCGGTGAGCTGAGCCCTCTCATCATGTTAGTCTCATTTACTTCTCTCCACACAGCCTGGTGAAGCCATTGCTCTTACTGTTACCTCCATTTTGCAGAGAAATTAACGTAGATACAAACGGGTGGGGTAACTTGCCCTAAGATTCATGTCCTAGTAAGTGGCAAGGCTTCCTTGCCTTTAGTTTTGTGTCAATTGAAACTGTAGCATCTAATCTTAAAAGCTTTTTGGCTCTTGCAGCTGAGTTTAAAATTTTGACTCTTGGATGCATAATTTATCATAATAAAAACGGGACAGGAGATCTGAACAGGGATTCTTTCTTGCCATGTTTACACATAGGATGTCTTTATCAGCCCACTGATTTAATACATTCCACTGAACATCATCCCAGTTTATTTTGTGATGCTATAACAGAAAGACTGAGTCATTTATAAGGGAATAAAATGTATTTGTTCTCAATTCTGGAGGTTGGGAATTTCAAGCTCCACGGGCCTACAGTGGTGAGGACCTTACGCTGCTTTGTCCCATGATGGGAAGCAGAAGGGCTAGAGAATCTGAGAGCAGAAGCTAAGCGTATCCTGGCATGAGGAACCTGCTCAGAGATGCTAACCATTCCCACTGGAATAGCATTAATGTATCCAGGAGAGCAGAACCCTCCAGATCTAATCACCTCTTAAGATCTCACCCCTCAGTTCTGCTGCTTTAAGGATCAGGTCTCCAGCACAGGGACTCTGAGGGACACATCAAAGCATAACAAACACCTCATGTGCCTGGCGACCTTGAGTATGTAGGTAGGTAAGTCTGACAATGATGACAATGATCTGTACAGAGGAAATCAGGAAAATCTGGAGAGTCTGAAAGCAACACATATCCATTCGATGGTATTTAAGCAGCTGAAAGCAGTTCTCTATTATAGTCCCCTCACTGAGCCAAGTTTAGCAAGAATTTTAACATCAAGAAACACAAAAATATCCCTTCATTCACTAGTCTGCACTTTTTTCCATAAAAATATTCGTGTTCATTTGCCAAACTAGGATTGCTGTTGGAAAAGGCTTATCGCTAAGCACTCAATCCATTTTCTAACTCTGGGGAGTCCTGTATTCTTCTGACGCATTCATTTATTTGGTGGTTAGACAAAGGCCAAAATTGGATGGA